GCGGCGAGAATGCAATGAGCTGTGCTTCAGTGCTAGCAGCGCGGTAGCTAGTCTCAAGTGCACGGAGAAGAGTGGCAAGGTCAGCGACAGTGGTGAAGGAAGCAAGATAACGGAATAGTGTGGGGAGGATCAGGTGGCCGGCAGAGGCGGAGGAGGGACTGGAATAGTACGCAATGACTGCATCTAAGTATTCCTTCGCATTTGCTAGAGCAGTAAAGCGCGGACGCTCAGACAAGGGGAGAGCGCGACTAATAGCAAGTTGTGTCAATTCGTCGCGCGACTCCCAGACAGTGTAGGCAAGCTCAGCAGCGGCCAAGGCCTCACGCTTAGCAGTGTGGGGGCGTCAGCGAGGGCAGGAGGCGTGTCGGGGCAGGGGACCTTCTGTCAACATGGACGAACTGGGAATGGCCGTCATGGCGCTGACCTGTCAGTTGGCGGTGGAGATCGACGAGCCATGCCTCAAATTCAACCGCCCGACCCTCCGCATCCAGACGGAGCATAGAGTCCGCCGTCACTACAGCTGCAGCAGCTGACTGCCGTTGGAGGGGGGGAGGAGAGCTGCGGAGCGGTGGAGAGCGGTGAAGAGTGGTGGAGTGTGGTGGAGAGCACTGGAGAGCGGTGGAGAGCGGAGGAGTGCGGTGGAGAGTGGTGGAGACAGCCGGCGGGAGCGCTGGCGCAGAGGGGAGCCAAGGTGAAAAAAACGCACACTTTCTTGATCTGGGTAAAAAAAAATTGCAAGTCTATTTTTTAAGAGGAAATAAAAAAATCCCCTAAAGAATCAAGGCATTTCACCCAGCTATATTGAGGCCTGGTCAGTGCACCCACAACCCAGGCAAAGAGGCCTGTAGCCCTTCCCCGAGGATCTCAAGGGCAACCCCAACGGGCTTTCGACAGAAATACCCTTGAATCCCTGTCCTGCTATGTACCTCTCAAAACTTATTTTGAAACAAACAAGAGCATGTCAAATGTAACTTAGGTCATTACTGTAGATTATACTGGATTGTGCCTTAGAGGGTACAACACCCTAGTCTAGATACCCTTGTACTCACACATTCTAGTTTACTTACTCACACCCCCTGGCCGTTCGCGACCGTCCATAGCCGGCCCCCTGGCCGTCGCATCCATCCCTAGCCGGCCCCCCTGGCCGTCGAGCCCGTCCCTAGCCGGCCTCCTGGCCGTCGTGCCCATCCGTAGCTGGCCCCCTGGCCGTTCGCGACCGTCCCTAGCCGGCCCCCTGGCCGTCGCGCCCGTCCCTAGCCGGCCCCCTGGCCGTCGCGCCCGTCTCTAGCCGGCCCACCGGTCGTCGAGCCCGTCCCTAGCCAGCCCCCTGGCCGTCGAGGCCGCCCCTAGCTGGCGTCGCGGCCGCCTCCAGCCGGCTCACGGCCGCCCCTCGCCGTCGCGGCCGCCTCCAGCCGGCTCACGGCCGCCCCTCGCCATCGCGGCCGCCCCTAGCCGCCCTTGCCGCCATCTCCAGCCGCCCCATGGTCGCTCCTGCCATCGCGGCCGCCCCTAGCTGCTGTCGCGGCCGTTTCCTGCCGGCTCACGGCCGCCCCTCGCCACCGCGGCCGCCCCTAGCCGCCGTCGCCACCGTCTCCAGCCGCCCCACTGTTGCTCGCGCCGTCGCGGCCGCTCCTAGCCGCCGTCGCGCCAGCTCCTAGCCCCCCCCCCCCCCCCCGGTACCGTATTACACCGCCTTGCACCGCACTGCACCTCACTGTACCATACTGCACCACACTGCACCGCACTGTACCGCACTCCACCGCACTGTATCGCACTGCACCGCAATGCACCTCGCCGCAATGCACTGTACCGCATTGCGCCGCACTGCACCGCATTGTACTGCTCTCCACTGCCCTCTATTGTCACTGATGGCGGCGGTGCTTCGCTTTGACGCTGAGGGCCAGCCGATTGAGTTTGATGTGTGGCTTGTTGACCTCCGTCGCCACCTCACTGGTCAGTGGCAGGATGGCCACTCTCCGTCCATCTTGACGGTACTCTCCCCTGCCCTGACCCCCCCGCTGCACTGTCTCCTGATCCCTCACCCGCTGAGCGTGAGTCCACTGCGGCCGCTGCCCTTGCTCGCTCTGTCTGGCTGTCGCGTGACGCTGTCGCACAGCTGGCTATTAGCAATGCCCTCCCCCTGTCCGAGCGACCTCGCTTCAGGTCTATCACCACTGCCCAGGCTTTCCTAGATGCTGTTGTCCAGCGCTATTCCACCCCGCCTGCTGCCTCGGTCGGTCGTCTGATCCTCCCCATGCTCTTCCCTGACCTTGCGTCCTTCCCCACTGTCATCGACCTGGCCGCTCACCTGCGCACTATAGACGAGACCTGACGTGCTGCCTGCACTCCCACACAACTTCTAGCCCACCAACCGCCCCTCACCTCTACTCTCTACCTGCTAGCCACCTGCCTTCCTGACCGTCTTGCCACTGCCCGTGATCACTTCCTTAGCGTCCACCCCGCAGACCTCACCCTCACTGACTTTGTTGACACCCTGTCTGCTATAGAGGCCCGCCATCCCTCTATCGCTCAAACCAGCGGTACTGTGCCGGTCCCTATCTTTCAGGGTTGCGCCCCTGCTCAGTGCACCTTCTCCGACGGTTCTGCTGCTGTGGCTGAGACTGCCGCTGCAGCACAAGTCCATCCGGGGAAGGGTCGCCGCCCAAAGGCTGGGCGTGGCGGCAGGGGTGGGGGTGCAGGTGTAGGTGGTGCTGGAGCTAGGTCTCCTGGTGGTGGTGCGGACGAGGGGACCCTACCAGGTGCAGCCGAGCAGCCGTCTCAGCAGCCGCCGGCGTTGCAGCCGGACTCGCGTCAGCCTCAGCAGCCGCAGCAATTGCAGCAGCTGCAGCAGTCGCAGCCGCAGCAGAGACGGGCGAGTGGTGTGAGAGTACGACCTCGTTACACCAATTTCCCCTTTCCATATTTCCTTTCTATTTCATTCCTCTTTTTATCCTGATTCATTTGGTCTTTATCTCATCTCATTTGGTTTCCTATTCCTCCTTTTTCATTATCCTTTGGTTTATCCTGTTATTATAATTATATCATCGACCAGGCTCGGGATGTACTGGCGCGCTATATCTAGCGTAATCCTGCTGTAATCCCTTAAAGCCAATAGCTTCGCGTGGCTACATGCAAGGTGATTCTATTTCTAGAAGGGTCTATTCCCTTTGGATAGGATAACCCTGGTTACCTGATGTACTCTGGAAGTATAAAAGCACCTTGTACTGATTGATAGTGCAACATTGAGCAAACCTTTCCTCGACTCATTCGATCCTGTGACACTTGGTATCAGAGCCAAGGTTTCAGCTCAACGCTTAACCGCTGGGCCCCCAGGAGCACGACGAGGATGCAGTCGAAACTTCAATTCCTGTAAGTACAATGCACTTTCATTTTAGTTTCGACTAACCTTGCGCAGTTGCAGCTGGGGTCCCCTTCAAAGGCGAGATGCCTCGCCGACTGTTCAATGGACTGCATCGACGGTGCCGATTTTTTCACGGGGGCAAACGGCCTTGACCTCGCGAACGCGTCACTTCTGGCGGAACACTCCCTGCGACATTCGGCGAAGGTCGCAATTCGCCAGAGCAACGACATCCGTCCGATGGAGATTCGACGCTTCAGATCGACCGAGGCGAAAACGAAATCCTTTTGAGCGAGTTCGAGTTTCATCGCGAATGGGAACGGGACCTCGCAAGCCGCGAAATTCTTTGGAGCTGTTCAACAGCCGACATCGACGACCGAGAATTGTTGCAGGAAACGAGTCCACCCGGGCACCGAAAGCTGCTAAACGCGAATCAGGAATGTCTTCAGATCGCTTGGAGTTTGGACTGTCGCATCGACTTCTGCTTCAACGGACGAGATGGAGTGCGAATTCTGCACGAAGGGAGAATGACGCAAAGAACCCAAAATCAGCCACCTTCGACATCGTTGACATCATCTGGACAACCAAATTCGAATTCCTCCATTTGGTCACGAACTTGGGGCGCAAAATCATCTACAGAGTCAAAAATCTGCCAGAGTATTACCTACGTGGTAATAGCTGCAAGCAGAAAACTGACAGGAGAACGTGGATCGTTGGATCGGTGCGGAATCATCGGCACGAATGCAGCGGAGACCACACTATGGGAAAACACCACCATGGAGACAACATTCGTGACCAGTGACTACACAATCGACGCATCTGCTGACTGGTGTCGATAGCGATCGAGTTGTTTTGACGAAGTCATCTTTGTTAAAATGGATCGACATCAACACAGCGGATCTTCACCCAGGAAAAACAATCGAGCTGCGTGAAGACATGTTCTCTATCCACGAGGCACTTCTTCATACCAATTGATTGACAATCCATGGGATTGCACAGAAGTAGCCGTTTTCTCTTGCAATATTCCCAACATCAAGTTGTTGCGAAGGAGCAGATTTTGCACGCAACGACGACGCAGTGAACCCGTCTCGTCAAGGCCAGCGAGACACTACTTCATAATGGGAGCTCAAAGATTCGTCTTCATCAAGAATCTCAGCCATCCGAAGTGATTATTTGAAGCAGTCTCAACATCGACCTCACGAGGCGACACACCAATCATGCGTCGCGATTCCAGGTGTTAATGACCAGCGTGGAAAATGTTCCGTGCACGTCACGATGCTTGACAGATTGAGGAGTAATTAACCTCTAATCTGGCAAGTACTCGCTCACTAGCGACCCTACGGCACATGCATTGGAGGCGATTCTACCAGAAGCCGAAGCGTTACAAGCATCAGTGTAACTTCGACGATGCAGGAGAACGCCAAGCAACACGAGGTGTCAAGAAATGAGGGAGATGCGGACTACTACAACACGATCACGCGCTCTACCGACCGTACATCGGAGGCACGGATGATTATACCAGGAATTGCTACTTGTGGATACATTGAGGGGAGAAGCA